GACAACCCCTCGTCAGTATACGTTTTCTGCATTGCATAGTTGCAAAAAATGCGTAAAAATATATATCAACAAAAAAACACAAAGGGGCAGGCAGGGTACAGCGCGATCCCAGAGGAGTCCCGACGGCGGCGCTGCGCATGCAACGCTTGGGCCCAAACAGTGAACAACAGCGCACTTACTGTACACTAGGGAAGGCACACTGCCATCCCCTTACGATACGGCAATAACGATGGCACAAGAATACCCGTCACAGTGGGCAACAAAACAGAGATCACTGATGACTCCCGCCGGCCCGGGAATCGTCCATCACATTGAGATATCCTTGATGTACGTTGAGTATCACCACATCGTTTTGACCGTTGTCACCATTAAACTATTTTGAGGGTTCAGTAATGATGAGAGAACAAAAGATCAGTTTTCTGACATGTTTTATAATTAACACGAGTGGAAAAAATTATGAAGAGATAAACGTTATACATTGCAAAATCGCTCAAAAACTTATGGTCGTACAACGGTAACTGTGATGCGGATGATTATTTGTGTTGCCCAAGCACACTGCAAAATTAGCATATTGATAAACAGTACCCCGGATGTTCTGGATTTTTCTGATCATCATTTTCAGGATCGATTGACGCTCTCTCGATTGCGTGCAGCCGAATATGTGCGCAGTGTACTGTGCGCAATCTGTTCAGTACACGCATTTCTTCCGTTCGATGCACATTTCCTGGCCCCGTTCAACAGTGCAACAGCTGCGAAAATGACGCACGCAAAATCGCGCATATGCCGGCTTGTTGATGAAAATGGCATTACAGTAACATTACCGGTAAAAATATGTCAATTTTACTTTGATTACTTGATGTTATGGTAAAAAATCAGGAGAAGGAAAAAGAAGAGAGGAACGAAGTGAAAAAAATGGAAGAGGAGTATTAAAATATTTATAATTGATAAGAAATGTTTCGGTCCATTAAGTCGCATACATTTCTTACCGTTATCACAATTGGACTTCGTCAGTACGACGATTGTGGTAACAAAGATAATTTAGATGAAGGCTTAGTGTGTGTGTGTTTGTGTGTGTGCGTGTGTGTGTGTGTAGTGTACAAGTTCTTAAGAAATTCTTGCTTTTGCAATATTACGAAATGACAGTTTTGCTTACAGTCTGATTTGCGAAGGACGTTTGCGCGTTATTGTGTGCGCAGTGGAGTGAATCGTCTGAAGCGCTATGCGTGTGGTAAAGTGTTTGGTCGATCGGATGCTCTCGGTTACTTCTTATTTCAATGTTTTGACTACCCCCACCCCCTATGCTTCATCGTTTGTATCCCGTCTCACCAGCAACACAGTTGACAACCCAGGCTGAAACGCACCAAGTGGGCCGGTGCGATCATGCGTTTTTGCACTTTTCGTACCGTAGCAAGATCGCAAGGAATCGCAGTGGCTAGCCTTGTAACATACTGGCCCTCGAAGTTCGGAAGTTAATTGTGCAGCTATGTGGCATGTCAGTTGTACAGCTATGTGGCATGTCAGTTGTAGATGTTAACGTCAGTGACTCGACAGATGAAAAGTTGCTGGTCCGCGAAAAAAGTTGCACCAGAAAAGTTGAATTTGAAATCTTTTGGTAGCACATGAGTAGGGAAAATTTCCTTAAAATTAAAACCATGCAGCTTTTCTCGTTCCCGAATTAGCAGTTTTCCAATCAAAATTTTCACGTGTCCGTACTTGAGTGTCGTGCGTTTCTGAGGAACTGGATTTGAAATCTTTTTGTCATACACAGGTAGGGAACATTCCTCCAAGGTTTCAGCTTTCTAGCTTTT